AGAAGAAGAAGAAGAAGAAGAAGAAGAAGAAGAAGAAGAAGAAGAAGCCATTTTTAATGAATCAAAAAGTTTGATCAAGAAAGAAAAGAGAAAGAGAGGAAGGAAAATGAAGGACTTAAGACCTAAAAAAATACCCAAGAAAGAGAAAAATAAGTTGCAAAATCAATACAATGTTAGAAAGCAAAAGAAAAGAGGAATACAACAGAGAGGGGAAGCTAAAAAGGTGGAGGTTAGGAGAGGAGGGGGTAAAAAGGCTAGGTGGGATAAGAAAGAAAGGGAAAAGGGGGGGAAAAGCCACAAAGGTATGAAATAAGATGGGAAAAAACAAAAAAAAAATAGGGATAAAGGGTTATGCATAATTTAAAAAAAAAGATTCTGCAAAGTACATATGATAGTATTGTAGTATTTGTGTTAGAAATAGAAAATTAGAATTTTATAAGATCTAATAAAAGATTAAAAGATTAAAATGCTTAATAATGATAGATTCTAAGATTTAATAAAATATTAAAGGAAATGTTTAAAGTATTTAGTTTAATTATAGAGTTTAATGGGCTATTGTGTTGATGTTATTATAGATTTATTTTTGCAGCATCTGTTTTTGAAATAGACAATTGGAATTTTACACGATTTAATAAATTTAAATATTAAAATGTTTAAGATTTAATGATAGATTTTAATATTTAATTATGTACTTAACTATTTTATAGATTTATTCTTTTTTTTCTTAAAATTTAGTAGGTAGAATGTACTAAGCAGAATCAGACTGGGATCTAGGTGTTATTTTAAATGTTAATCTAGGGGAACGATAGAAAGGCATCATACTCCGATTAGTGAATTCAGGAGAAATTTTCTTTTTTTTATTATAGAGAGTGAGATAAATGGTTAATTGGAAAAGAATGGACAAAAGATACAAGTATAATGATTTAAAGTAAGATGAAATAAATAAAATAGAATTAAGAAGATTGAAAAGCGGGGAGGAGTTATATAGTAGATATAGAATGGTAAATAAGATAGGTAATGGTATATAAGATGAGCATGAATTTAATTGAAGTCCGTACAAAGAGAGGTAATCTGGGGCCAAGCCACTTTCTAAAAAGAAGTTTTATGTTTTTGTCTTTTGTGTGTCTATGGTTGATTGAGAATTAATAAAACCTTGGAGGAATGTCAGATGAGAATAATTGTAAACAAGCCAGAGGGAAATATAGATATGATGACTATAAAACAGATAAATATAGAAAAGAAATGTAATTGAATAAAGGTAAAGAGAAATAATGAGAAATTTGTTAAAAGATATTTATGTGCCCATATGGAAATGGAGTAAATTAGAATTATGCGGTATAAAATAATGTTTTATCTGCCTTGTAAGGATTTATAATGGAAAGAGGTTTTATGTTTTTAATGTTTAATGATGTTTTGTTTGTCTTTAAAATTAATAAAATTTGTTTAAAAAAAAAAGAAATCCATAGAGGAGGTGGTGTTGCTATGCTAAAGTCCCTACATCTAAACAACATCCAAGTTACCCAGGAGCTTGCTATTCCTGAGACTATTGTCTGTGAACTGTCCTTAAATATCACATTTCAGTTCTTACTATATTCCAGAGCCCCTGATTATGACATTGAACATGCAAACAAGCTAAATTCACTACTAACATGGGCAGCATCCTGCCCACACACTTTTATTTTTCTTGGTGACTTCAATCTACCTCATATTAATGAATGTACAACTGAACCCACACATGCAACGTTCTACAATGCAGTACCAAATCTGGGACTAGAACAACTAGTAACCAGCAACACTAGACTTAATAACTGTCTCAATCTCATCTTCTGCAATAGTTTGAATTCAAATTATGGAATACAAATTAAAGAGCCCTTTTCCAACAGTGACCACAACATGATTGACTTTTGTCTCAACATACGTCCACACAAAAGTCATCACAATGGAATCCCCAATTATAACTTAAAAAAAGGCAACTTATAAACAATGATCTCTCATCCCTTGATTGGAAATTTCTATTTGCTGGATGCAATACTGTAGAAGACCACTACAACATATTTTTACTTGAAGTCAAAAGAGTCATCAAACTATATGTACCAATAACAACTCCCAAAACCAGAAAAAAACAAATTACCCATAACAATAAGGAAGCTTCAATCCAAAATAAATCACTTTTGTGGAAAAACAAATCTGGTCACATTGCCAACTTCAAAAGCTGATACAAAAATTTATGCCACCAGATAAAGACTAAATGCATCAATTATCACATTAAACAAGAGGAAAACCTTATACGCATCAATTCTACCTGCACTTTCTACAATTTCGTAAACAACAAAATATTTTGTTTGCTCTAGGTTTTCTGCTGTAAACTCAGACATGGCTTCCCAGTAAAGATTATATCATATTATCTAAAAATGAAGTTCTTTTGAGTTCCATGGAGAGATACTTAAAAACTTCTGCATTGCTGTATGGTATTTGTATCTATAAACTTTTAACTGAAACAAAAACAAACAAAAAAAACAAAATAAAATAAATAAAAATAAAATATGCGGCCTTGCTCCGCATTAGGAGGGCTTCTCATTGAGTCCAATGCATCAAGAAAGAGACCAAGCCTGTTCAGTCTTGGATAAGCAGCCCCGAGCACGCACTCAGGGAAGCTCTTTTATTGAACACACATTGTTAAACGTCACAAAAGAGAGAGTTCAGTCTACTTTACATGTTAAAAGAGTGGGGGGTCTCAGTGGATATATTGTAGCACCCAATCACAGTGCTTAAGGGATACAAAGTAACCAATCCGCGCCTGCAGTCCAGCCAGTAGCCCAAGGTGGGCAGCATCCTTTTGTTCCTGATACCTGCTTCCAGCCTACGTGAGGTCTTGCAGGTATCGAAAACTCCTTTGCCTACGTGAGGCTTGGCATATATCAAAACTCCTTTGCCTACATGAGGCTTTGGCATATGCCCAGGCTGTTAGATGTGGATTCGCTGCTGCATCTCCTCTGTTTTAGTTTTACGCAGAGGGATTTCTTCTGGTTCTTCGCTATAGCCCATACAGAAGCCCGTGCGCATGTTCTCATCGGGGTCCTCCGAGGGTATAGCTTTGTACAGAGATTCTTTTTCCCAGAGGGCATTGACCTGTGCAACGGCGTGTTTTTCTGCTAGCAGTGACAGACTATTGGAGATGGTGCGAACAAAGATTGGTAATATACATGGAAGAATGACACACCCAGCAGCAATAATACCTATGAGCGCTACTATAGCTTGTAATCCTGGCAGTTTTGGGAGCCAGGAGCCAAAGATATTTTTGAGGTCCATACTTCGCCATACTTGATCCGGATTGTAGGTTAATTGTCGCATCTCAGTAGTTAACTGCGCTACGACTTTGCCAACCTTGTCAATTTGAAGACAGCAATTTGTGAGATTAAACCTTCCACATACGCCCCCTTCCTTGGCTAATAAATAATCCAAAGCCAAGCGATTTTGGTAGACAGCTGTGCGTAATTTGTCTGTAGCAGTTGCAAGAGTGTTTAGAGCCTTATCTATTCGTTGACCTGCTAAATCTAAGACAGCTTGCAAGCGAATGATTCTATTAAACAGGGATGCCTAGTTCCTGCTTCACTGAGATTGGAAGGAGGAAGAAGGAAGGTCTTATCCATCCCAATACACATGACCCTTGCCAATCTGCTGGGAGGGATGTGTAGGCTAGGTTGCCGCAGATCCAACACATGTCATTGGGTGCAGTCCAGTTCTGGGAGGATGAAGTGTCCCTGAGATAAGGGAGGAGGGTTGTGTTGAATTTTGTGGGTGTGGTAGTAGCATTATCAGGTGCTGTCCAATTCTGGTAGGAGATGTCCCACGGACCTAAACAAAGGAGATGTCCTACCGGAATGGACCCGTTTCGGGAGAAGCAGTTTCTACCGATTAGATTGGTAGTAATTGTCCAGATAAGGGGGTCGGGGGCAGTTCTGGCTGTTATGTTTCCTATAGAAGACATGTTGTTGAACAGTGATGGCGAGGCTTCTAAGGCTTGCCATGGCCACTGTTCTCCTGTGGTGGTTCCCCCGCAGACAAAGCAATTGGTTATTGCAAGTTGTTTTGCAATTTTTTCTGCCATGTCCATGAATAGGTTTTTTGCTATTATGCTGGTATCAGGGGCTTTATCTAACTTTCTTAAATTATTATACACCGACCAGCCTAATGATGTTTCCTTACCCTCATATATCACTTCTGTTTTTATAGTAATGTAGGTGTTTGGGTCTGCTCCTATGCCATCGATCCCTATACCATAGGTATCCATGGCGGGGTGTTGTCTGGAGATAGTGATCTCTACCTTGTTGTCCTTGGTAGACCCTGATACTCATTTAAAATGTGACACATGATTGCAGCCCGAGTACCCTCCCCCAGTGTAATCACAGACACAAGACCAACCCGAGCATTCAATGGAGCCCCCGCAAGGGATCCAATGATTAGGGTTTCCTACGGCCCAATTGATGGGCGTGAGACACAAATACTTATGATCATGAGCATATTTGGTTTTCCAATCATCTGACCCACAAGGATATCCCCCTGGTTTGGAACAAGCAATGCAAACATCAAAAGTTAAAACAATTGGGTCAGTACCATCCTTAAGCACAGTGGTGTGATTTAGGTAGTAAAGTTTTCCCTTCCCTTCAGGATCAGCTCTGCCAGAGGCTTTTGGAAGTCCGGCCCACAAAGTAACATTGAGGCGAACAGCCGTCTTTGGGTCATAGCAAATAGTTTTTGAGTTCATTTTGCATAACTGATACATACTCCCGTTATTCTGGCAAGTTTTCCCAGTAGAAAGGCATCTCTGTGGTTGCTGGGTATGGTAAATGAAAGTCAGTCGAGTGAAGCCTGCTTGTGTGGTTTTGGTCAAGCAGGGGGTGCAGTCATCTGGTTTGGTGGGTTTTTGTGATCTTTTAATCCTATGCAGCAAAGTGGGGTTCTGAATATGAGTGTCAGGCTGATTCACAAATTGTCTGTGATGACGATGGGGTCTGAGGATTGTCCAGGAGCTGTAGGTGTTGCACGTGGAATCATGGAGGCATCGACCTGAACAATAGTAGGTGGTTGCAGTAGGATGGGATATGAGGAGTGTAGCTCGAGGGGGTTGTTCAAAGGTGTTGACCCGGAAAGAGGCATTGCTGGAGATGTAGGACCATGGCTGAGGAAGCGTTGACCATCTGAGATAAGGGGGAAAAATGTCCCAGGATGCAGTGCAGGTCAGCAGGAGGGGGGTGTCTGGCATGAAGTATGTTACTCTGGATGGAATGGAATCTTTGGAGGCGTGTGCAGCAAGGAGGAAGAGGAGGAGGAGGAGGGTCAGCGAAGCAGCAGGGCAGATCATGTTGATATGTCTGCAGCTGGTGGTTTTGCTACCTTGGGGTGGTATGGTCTGACGTGCTGTCCAGGAACCCACAGGACACGATCTGGAAGCTGGATAGCTGCGAAGCCGCGACCCCAGGTAAGGAGATCAGCAGGACCCTTCCAAGCAGGGTCTGGCAGTTGGCGGTAGTATACCTGTGGTTTGGGAGAATCAGGAGGGGGGAGAGGAAAAGTGTCGCTCCGCTGCTGTTGTGGCAGGGGTGCCAGAGAGATTGAGGAAATTAATCGTATAAAGGCAAAGATTAAGAGTGTTTTGCATCGCCGGGAGGCCAAGGGGTTTTTTCCCTTTGGTCAGATGTCGTTCTAGTGCTGTCTTTAAAGTTAAATTGGCTCTCTCTGCCAGGGCTTGTCCCTGGCTGTTGTAAGGGATCCCAAATTTGTGGGTGACCTGCCACTTAGAGCAAAATTCTGACATAGCCACACTAGTGTATGCAGGACCATTGTCTGTTTTTATTTCGTTTGGGCGTCCCAACGATGCAAAGGTGCGAATGCAGTGGTTAATGACATGTTTAGAGGCTTCTCCTCTCTGCGGGGTTGCCATTATGAACCCTGAATAAGTATCAATTGTGACATGCAGGTACTTCCAGGGGGCAAATGGAGGAAACTGAGTAACGTCCATTTGCCATATTTCACAGGCTTTCAACCCGTGGGGATTTACTCCTAAGGGGATGGAATTGGCTTGCTGACTGCAGGTGGGGCATTGCTGCCTGATGGTTGAGGCTTCTGCCATGGTAAGGTTAAAATGTTTCATGAGGGCTTTGGCATTTTGATGAAAGTAAGAATGGCTTTCCCAGGGAGTTAGGGTGTGCGTGGTCATAATACCTGCAGCTGCTTGATCAGCCACATCATTGCCTTCCTGGAGAATTCCTGGGAAAGGCTGGTGGCTGCGAATGTGGGCTACAAAGAGAGGGTGTTGTCGTTGCGCAACAAGCTGCTGCAGTGTAACAAAAAGAGAGAGAAGGTTCTTGTCAATAGCGGGAGAGAGGTAAGAGTCGTGGATGGTAGAGACTATTTGGGTAACATACAGGCTGTCCAAGATCAAGTTGAGGGGTTCGCTGAAATTTTGGAGGACTAGTATGGTTGCAGCAAGCTCAGCCCTTTGTGGTGAAGTCTGCACAGGGGTAGTTTTGGTGTGCCATGCTCCATTCTTTTGCCAAGCTCATGCCCCTCGTTCCCTGCTGCCATCAGCAAATATAGTCAGGGCACTGACCAAAGGTTGTTTGCTGATGGGAGAGGAGAAGGAGATGGGTATGGTTCGAATGATCTGAAAACGTGGGTCAGTGGGTGGGTGGCAGGAGATTAGCCCAGCCAGTCGGATAAGGCCAACTGAAGCTCCTGGGAGTTTTGGAATAGAGGTTCCCAAATTTGCAGCGAGAAGGGGATAAAAAGTGTGGAGACATCTATCCCCATGAGTGCTTTTGTGCGGCTCCTGCCCTTTACGATTAATTGAGCCAATTGAGCTGGTTTGGAAGTGATGGAGCATCGGGGCATGTGGGAGAGATGGATCCACTCTAAGATGTGGAGCTTTTGGTCCTTTTGGGTCACTGCCGCGGTCAAGAGCCTTGGGGTGGCTAGAATGACCATATCTAGAGGAGTATTGGCAGCGGCCCTATCCACCCATATTCTACGTATGTTCTCTTCTATATGGGTCAGCGCTTGAAGCTGAGGTTGCTGCAAGGATATTTTGTCAGCGGGCCCTTTTCCCCAAGTAAGGGCTTCGAACAGTGGAGAAAGAGTGTCAGTGGTTAGTGACAGGAAAGGTCGGGCCCAATTAATGGTGCCCAGATATTGTTGAAGCTGAACCAGGGTAGATTGAGGAGGCAGAAAAAGTGAGGGGAGTGAAGGATAGGCAGTAGTTGAGAGCATTTTATAGCCTAGATATGCATAGGGAGTCAGCACTTGCACCTTTTCAGGCACTATGTGCAAGCCTCCCCTTGCGAGGATGGCTTTCAGGAAAGAGAACGAAGCAAACACTGTACCTGGGGGTCCAGGAGCAGCAACAAGGATGTCATCCATGTAATGATAAACCAGAAATTGTGGATAGGCAGAACGATAGGGTAACAGGACCTTATTTACATAGTGCTGACACATGGTGGGGCTGTTGAGCATGCCCTGAGGTAGGACTTTCCATTGAAAGCGAGAGGAGGGAGAGGAGTTATTCGGACACGTGGGGAGAAAGTACACAATGCCTGGGATGTCAATTTCCATATCTTCAGAAGCAACTAATTGGAAAGATATGGTGTCAGCCTTTGGAGTGGGGCTGGCTGACTGCCCCCCCCCCTCTAGTTTCCCTGCAGTTGGGGGGTGCTGCTGCAACACTGGTTTGCCCAGTGGTACCCTTTTTTGCACCTTGGGCAAATTGTTTTTGGCTTGTTGTTGTTTTGTGGATTGTCCCTAGCCCTACATTGTGCTTTGAAGTGGCCTGGTTTCCCACAATTGAAGCAATTCCCAGCTGGCCTGTTTTGAGAATTTGTGTGCTGCAGGGCCATTGCCAGGTGTTCCATATTGTAGGAAACAGTCCCCACGATTCTGCAAGCCTTTAGATAGTCCAAGAGGGAAGCCCCCCCTCGGGCAGCCAGAGGCTGCAGAATCCTTTTGCAATCCTCATTTGCATTCTCAAAGGCTAATTTCAACAGAAGCTCTCTGCGGGCCTCTTCATTTGAAATTTGCCTCTGGACAGCCTTTTGGAGCTCCTCTATGAATTCGGCATAAGGCTGATGTGATCCCTGGGTAATTTTGGAAAAGGAGCCTATGGCCCCAGAGGCAGGATCATCGACCTTATCAAGGGCTTTGATAGCGATGATACTGACAAGGGCGAGAACTTGCTGTGGGATCGCTGTCTAGGATGTTAAGTCAGCGAATTGGCCCATGCCAAAAATTTGATCTGCTCTTGAGCCACGATCGTCAGCAATTTTCTCAGCTTCGGCACGAAAGTCTGATTCCCACACAACGTACTGCGGTCCTGTCAGTATCATTCGGAAAAGGTCTTTCCAATCTTGGGGTAGCATAAAAAAGGAGGTGCTGATGGTGTTAATGAGACCTCTGACATACGGTGCCTGAATGCCATACATGGCCACAGCTTGTTTTAAATCTCTAATTAATTTCATGGATAAGGGCTCAAGCCTGGGCACCATATTCCCAGCTCCATCCCCCACATATTCTATGGGACAGAGGGAGAGCTCCTCTAGGGTAAGAGAGCCCTCCTTGCGCCCCTGTGCCATGGCTTGTGCAACTGCTCCCATGGGTGTCTGATCCCCCACAGGATTTAATTTAGGAGGAACTGAGGGTTCAGGAGCTGTGGGGGAAGAGGCTTCCAGTGGGAGAGCGTCTTTGGTTTTGGTCTCAGCAGCATAGGGAGGGGGACCTCCCGCAAGGGGGGGGGTGCCAGCGTTAGTCAGCGCTGAGCTCTGAACTTTTAAACATTCCATAATTACCCGCCAGGTGGTTAAAATCTTTGGCGGAGCCCTGGGAGTATCATGAAAAAGTCACCCAAACGTTGCCATGTGGAGACTTTTAAGGACCCCTTTTCCGGATAAGCCGGACATTGCTTGTGGATGTACTTTAAAAGGGCTATGAGGTCCTTTTTAGTTGGAGCCAGGAGCTTTTTGCCCTGACTCCTAAGAATCAAAATTGAGCTCTTCGTTAATTCCCTTAATTCCTGCAGATGCACCATCTGCGCTTTAGAGAATTTCCCACCCATACTCACCTGAAGGAAGGATTTCTCCTGGGGAGGAATCCATGACACTAGACGGCGTCCCTGGGTTGCAACTGGCTCATCCGGCCGGGTGAGATGGGAGGTTGAAGGCGGGCGGGTCTGCTTCTTTTCAGCAGATCACGTCGGGGTCACCAGATGCGGCTTTGCTCTGCATTAGGAGGGCTTCTCATTGAGTCCAATACATCAAGAAAGAGACCAAGCCGGTTCAGTCTTGGATGAGCAGCCCCGAGCACGCGCTCAGGGAAGCTCTTTTATTGAACACACATTGTTAAACGTCACAAAAGAGAGAGTTCAGTCTACTTTACATTTTAAAAGAGTGGGGGGTCTCAGTGGATATATTGTAGCACCCAATCACAGTGCTTAAGGGATACAAAGTAACCAATCCGCGCCTGCAGTCCAGCCAGTAGCCCAAGGTGGGCAGCATCCTTTTGTTCCTGATACCTGCTTCCAGCCTACGTGAGGTCTTGCAGGTATCGAAAACTCCTTTGCCTACGTGAGGCTTGGCATATATCAAAACTCCTTTGCCTACGTGAGGCTTTGGCATATGCCCAGGCTGTTAGATGTGGATTCGCTGCTGCAAAAATAAAATAAATAAAATAAAATAAATAAAAATAAAATTAAAAAAGAAGAAAACCTTCTATGCACCACTTCCACCCACGCAAACTAAGAGACTCAAGGTCCATCCCACCCCTGAAAGAACCAAATGGTAATGACTGCAACTATGACACCATTAAAGCCAATCTCTTTAACACATTCTTTGGCTCAGTATTTATAAACAGCAATGGATCATATCCCGTATTTCCTAGTCAAACCACAGACAACTACAATGATCTAATACATATTGATTTTACGGAAGACAATGTTGAAAAAGCACTATGCAATCTAAAACCATCTCTAGCCATTGGACCGGATGGAATATGTGCCTACTTCTTAAAAAACGCTATCCACTGCCATAGCCGAACTTCTAAGCATAATCTTTGAAAAATCTTTCAGGACCAGCTCCTTGCTAAAACTATGGTCACAAGCCACAGTCATCCCCATCGTCAAAAAGGGAGACCCAGCCTAGTTGAAAATTACAGATCAATCTCTTTATGCTGCATCACCTGTAAAGTCATGGAATCAATTATTAACCAATCCATCATCCTCCACTTAGAGACAAACAATCTACTGTCTAATAAACAATTTGGTTTCAGAAAAAAACTATTCTGTAATCTGCAACTCTTACACTGCAAAAACATATGGACTACAAAACTCGATCAGGGCAAAGCAATAAACACAATCTACGTAGACTTCTGTAAAGCCTTCGATTCAGAGGTACATGACAAACTACTCCTAAAACTAAAATCTTACAGTATCTCTGGACACCTGCATAACTGAATAGAAGCATTCCTGTCAAACAGACAACAAATGTTCAAAATTCGGAGCGTCCTATCAAATTCTGTACCTGTCAACAGTGGTGTCCCCAAGACAGTGTTCTAGGACCAACTCTCTTCATACTCTACATAAATGACCTCTGTGGTCATATTAAGAGCAACTGTGTTCTCTTCGCTGATGATGTAAAGCTGTTCAACAGACAATACTGGTACCCTTCAAAAAGACCTTGACTATGTATCAGAATGGTCAAATAAATGGCAAACTTCAAATCTCAACAAATAAATGCTCTGTCCATCTTGGAGTACTCATCTCTAACAATCTAAGTGCTAGAGCCCACTGTAACCACATAGCCAAAAAGGCATTAAGAGTCATTAACCTAATCTTACGTAGCTTTTTCTCTTGTAATATTACACTACTAACTAGAACATACAAAACATTTGCTAAACTAATACTCGAATGCAGCTCATCAGTGTGAAAACCACATTACATATCTGATATTAACACAGTTGGGAAAGTCCAGAAATATTTCACAAGAAGAGTTCTCCACTCCTCTACTCATTGCAGAATACCTTATGCCACCAGACTTGAAACTCTAGACATAGAAAACCTACAACTACACCGCCTTCGGTGTAGTTCTAAGTATAGTATATAAAAATCATACATTGCAATGTCCTACCTGTCAATGAATACTTCAGCTTTAACCATAACAATACAAGAACAAACAATAGATACAAACTCAAGGTTAATCACACCAAACTTGATTGCAGGAAATACGACTTCAGCAACAGAGTGGTCAGTGTCTGGAATACCTATCTGACTCTGTGGTTTCTTCCCCAAAAGCTTTAACCTTAGACTGTCTACTATTGACCTCACCCCTTTCCTAAGAGGTTTGTAGGGGGTGTGCATAAGCATACCAACATGCCTACCATCCCTGTCCTATTGTTTCTTTTTCTTTTTTTTCTTTTTTTTCTTATATGTATCCATGTATTCATAACTATGTTTTTACTTAAAACTATTATCTTGTAAGCAATCGGCAAACCAAATAAATAAATAAAATAAAACCTCAAGGGACAATGCCAAAAGCCAGCTGTATCTGCAAATAAACAGCCTCAAAGCTGAAGATACAGCAGTCTATTACTGTGCAAGAGACATGTTGAGAGGAAGTGGATCTGAAGCCAAGGAAAAGTCTTTCTGTTTTCAGAGTACCACTTCATCTTGACTGAATCCCAGTCTTTTGACTTTGGAGCGGCAAATGAACAGCCTCAAAGCTGAAGATACACTGCCTAGTACTGTGCATGACACATGGTAAGAGGAGATGTATTTGATGCTAATCAACAATTTCTCACAGACCATCTCTCCAAATCACCCCAATCACAGAATTATTTAATTGGAATGAGAAGAAGTACACAAATCTCCATGGTACTATGTAAAAACATAAACTTATTCTTGGAGTAAGCAGTGAGTAACCTGGTTAGACCTTTGGCAGAGCAAAAAGAAAGTCTCTGGTTAGTAGAGTCAACTCGTTAGTTTATAAAAGGTTAAAGTTTAGTTTGAGGTACCGTGTTTCTCATATAATAAGGCTGGGTCTTTTTTTTTTTTTGAGCCCTGAAAAAATGGCTGGCCATCTTTTGGGGGGCAACTTAATTCCCCACCTTGCATCTTTGGGTGGGCGGGGGGCGACGGCTTGGATGTTGACCTCAGTGTTGGTGGGGCACTTCGTATCAGGGTCAATGCAGGCAGCACCATATCCAGGTGTGCAACTAAAGTACTTCCTAATGGCCCCCCCACCATTCCCCCCCATTTCGCATGTTTTAATATAGGCCTTAATTTGTGGGGAGCGGCTTAATTTCATTTCATGCCTATAAAACATGCTGGGATTTCCTATTGGGGGAGGCCGTATTGTTGGAGAAACAGGATAGTAATATGGAATTATATTTTACAGTTCTTTCTTGATATATTTTATAATTCAGGGACCTTTAATTCATAGTGCTGCCAATTCTCCTGCATTTGGCTATTTTCTGAATTTTGCTCCTTTTTCATCCTTTTTTATTAATATATATTCAATGCCCTTAATCCTGAAGCTCTCTTCTCTCAGTTCCTTTTTTATTAATATATATTCAGTGCCCTTAATCCTGAAGCTTTCTTCTTTCAGTTGGGTTGACTCAAGGGTGGAAAACATTGGTAATATCCAAACTCCTTTCCAAGAAGCCCTCTGAGATTAAATATTTGGGACTATCTTCTTGTCTTGATATAGTTGCTTGGTAGTTCCTGCTACAACCCCTCTAACTTCTCAGAGTAAGTAAAATTGGAATTCCTCATCTACCTTGCTTAATAAGGAAATTAATGTGAGAAATTAATGGTGTCCTCATCCTGTACACCTCTAAATTTTTCATGTATCTAAGGAAAATCAATTTTATAATGTCCATATCACAGAGCTATACACTTACTCAAATGTAATCACTCCCATTGACCACTGTAAAATCAATTTCATAATGTCCATATCACAGAGCTATACACTTACTCAAATGTAATCACTCCCATTGACCTCTGTATGAATAATTAAACATCTAATACAACCCATAACAGAGAAACTGTTCTAAACATACTTCCTATCACAAAACCAAAGTTGGGGTTTGGATGACTTCGTAAACCTGTGAAATCTCTCAGATTTTCTTCTCTTTCCTTTCTCCCTAATAAAACTATTCTTGGGAATTAGCTTTTTGTATCCTGTTTCTTAAAACAACCCTTTGTGCACATTTAAGCCCCATTATATTGAGCAGTGGTGGAAATTTTCAAATCTTCATTGAAAGAAACCAGGGATTTGTCCCCTGTGGTTGTTGTCAGCCATTTGGTAATGTCCAACCATCAACCATTCTATGGAACATGACTCCCCATGCCCCTCTGTCTCACAGTGTCTTCTTTAGGTCCACCATGGTCATACCTATGCTATCCTTTATTGTGTCCAGTCAACAGGTGCTAGAGTGGCCCCTTCTTTTTCTGCTAATTATTCCCACCATGATTAATTTTTAGAGTGACTCAGCTCTCATGACAAGACCAAAGTATGACCTCTGTATGGTGATTTTGGCTTCAAGTGATATTTTTGCTGATGTTTGGTCCAGGACTTATTATTAATATTAAAGGGCTGTTGCAAAGAACAGAGGACCAATCTATTTTACAAAGCTTCTGAAGGCAGAACAAGAAGCATGGATAGAAATTAATCAAGGAGAGAAACAAGCTAGAACTAAGGAGAATTTTCTGACGTGAGAACAAATAATTAATGATTAATCTGTAAGTGAATCCACTGAGAAACTCAAGCAATATGTGAAGCAGAAAACAATTCCCTCCTTAAAGGAGTTTACTTTTTCTGTTTTCAGGCTACATCCCCCAACACAAAGTTTGTGCATTTCTCTGAATCTTGTCTTATTGATTCCCATCCATTGGTCAGAGGGAGCAAAAATGATTTTGTTGTTCACCTTGTTGTCCTTACTAGCAGTAATGATAGGTCATTCTGTCTTTCCAAGTCATTTCCTTCCCATTTTAAATCTTGTATACAAGAGAGTTGATTCAAATATTTTTCCTTTTAGGTATCCAGTCTGAAATCCAATTGGTGGAATCTGGAGGGGACAAGGGAAGACCTGGAGAGCCTCTCCATCTCTCCTGCCAAATTTCTGGATTTGGTATCAGTGGCTATTCCATGCAGTGGGTAAGACAGTCTCCTGGGAAAGGAATGGAATGGGTGGCATAGATAAGCTACAATTCTGCTAGTATTAAATACTCTGCCAGAGTGAAGGGATGCTTCACCACCTCCAGGGATAATGGCAAAAATCAGCTGTACCTGCAAATGAACAGCCTCAAACCTGAAGACAGGGCAATCTATTACTGTACCACATACACAGTGAGAGGAAATGAATCTAAAGACAAACAAGAACTTTCTTTTATTTGACTTGCAACTTTTTTCAGCCCCAAATCCTGGATTAATCAATGAGGCTGGGCCACCATCTACTGTGAATCTGAAGTGTTTTTGTTCTTGCTGTCCAATTAGGCCAGCAAGAACAATTGTTGGAAGACAATGAAAAAAAATGACTAAAATGGCTTGAAAATTCCAGTTTTACACTCCTTATTTACCAGGTGGTTTGGCTTCAATGAAAAAGAAAAAAGAGGAAGGAAGGAAGGAAGGAAGGAAGGAAGGAAGGAAGGAAGGAATTGAAAATGATCTATTACTATAGAAATAGAAATAGCAACTTAAATTTATATACCACTTCATAGTGATTTACAGCCCTCTCTAGGTGTTTTACACAGTCAGCGTATTATCCCCAACAATCTGGGTCCTCATTTTACCAACCGCGGAAGGATGGAAGACTAAGTCAACCTGAAGCCAGTAAGAATCAAACTGTTGGCAGTTGGCAGAATTAGCTTGCAATATTGCATTCTAACCACATTGCAACCATGGCTCTTGATTTGGTGAGATCAAGTATCAGTAGCCCAGTAGTAATGTATGGCTGTGAGATTTGGGCCATAAGGAAAGCTGAGTGCCAAAGAATTCATGCTTTTGAACTGTGGTGCTGCAGAAAACTCATGAGAGCACTGTGGATTGTGGAAAAGATCATATCAACCAAAGGAAATCCAATTTGATTGTTCTTTGGAAGGACAGATCCTGAATCTGAAGCTCAAATACTTTGGGCACCAAATGAGAAGAGTGGACTCATTGAAAAAAAACAACAACCCTGATGCTGGGAAAGATTGAAGAAAAAAGGAGAAGGGGATAGCAGAGGATGAGATTATTAAATAATGTCATTGAGGCAGAAAACAAGGTTTTGGGCATATTTTGGGGGACAGTGGATAACAGGGGGGCTGGTGTGCTGTGGTCCATGAGCTCCCAGAGAGTTGGACACAACTTAGTGACAGAACAAGATCAATAAAACAGTAGCATGGCACAAGGCAAGAAATGAAAGTTATGTTGATATTTCTGGCTATTAAACTGCCATAACATATTGAGGAAACATCTGGACCAAAAGAATCTCCTTGGAGAATTAGGAAGATGTATCCTAATAATCAATTTTGACACTTGGTGGCAATGTTGTCACATGAAACTCTATTGCCCATGCACCCAATAGGGGTGGGAGAGGGAATAAAACAAGTGTGATCAGATACTGTCTCATTTTTGGAGTCATTATAATTTTGTAAGATATTTCTTCTTAATAGTTCACTGAAAAGATCTTTTAAAAAATTAACACCTCAGGAGGCTGCTATTGTCATTGTGAAGATGATAATTCTTATAAAAAGGTGAATCTTTCTCATCTTAGAAATTGTATGAAGATATTTCAAATCCTTGCTGGGAATAAAAACCACAGAGAGGGACTTATCACTTTTGATGGATAAGAAAATAAATTAAAATTTTATGGATGCAAATTCATACATTAATTCACAAAATTTTCAAACCTGAAAAATATTTCAACCCAATATTTTTCTGTTGGGACTAATGGACAGTGAAAAAAAGAGAAGAGGAGAGGGGACGGGAGGGGATGGGAGGAGAGGAGAGGAGAGGGGAGGGAAGAGAAGAGAAGAGAAGGGAAGGGAAGAAAAAAGAAAAGAAGGAAAGGGAAGGGAAGGAAAAGAAAAGGGAATGAGAATGGGAAAGGAAAAAGGAAGAGGAAACTGAAAAGGAATAATGGAATAAAGGAATAATGGATGGAAACTGAACAAGGAGAGATTTAACCTGGAAACAAGGATAAACTTTCTGACAATGAGAACAATCAACCAATGGAACAGCTTGCCCTTGGAAGTTGTGGGAGCACCATCATTTGAGACCTTCAAGAAGAGATTGGACTGCCATTTGTCAGAAATGGTGTAGGATCTCCCGCTTGGTCAGGGGGTTGGACTAGATGACCTACAAGGTCCCTTCCAACTCTGATTATCTGTTATCTGAAAAGGAAAAGGGAAGGGAAGAGAAGGGAAGAGGAAGGAAAAGGAGGGGAAGGAAGGGAAAGGGAAGGGAAGGAGAGGAAAAAGAGGGGAGAGGAGGGAAGAGAAGAGAAAGGAAAGGAAAGGAAAGGAAAGGAAAGGAAAGGAAAGGAAAGGAAGAAAAAAATTCTGGATCTTTGTTTTTATATTCAAAAACTGCAGGACAACTACAATCTGCCCAACAATGGAAAAGTTCAATATGGCCCAGAATGGAAGATTGGCTGAGAAGATGATTGAACTGGAAAACCAAATAGATAT